CCGTCGTCTTACCAAAGTAGGTGTTATCTGCCCTCCGCTTTTTTATCTGCGAGTTTACCGATGCCATCGTGTACATACTATTATTATTATTATTCTTATTCTTATTATTATTATTATTATTATTATTACCATCATCATCATTATTATTATAATTATTGTTACTTTATTATTATTATCATTATTATTATTATTATTATTATTATTATTATATATATATATCGTGCATATATAAAAGCGATTGTACGATTATATTAGTTATTGATATTGATTCGAGCCGGAGAAAAGTAGCGCGCGTCTCGTAAATATAGCTTTTTTATATTGTTTGATCGACAAAGAAGCAACGATCGACGAAAGGGGGGAAAAAAAAAAAGGAAGCGGCGGCGAGCCACGAAATCATTTTGTCACCGCTCGTTGTCTTCTTCTTGTTTGTACATAGTTTGTTTCCGGTATTTATTACCACAGTAGAATTCTGATTTTCTTATTACGTAGGTATCCGCTACGTTCTCATCCTCGAAGCTGCCAAAGATCAGTATACGTTATATATTGATCAGTACATATATATATATCCTTTATATATCCTTGCGAATTAATTTATATAATTATTTAGCAATGCGATGCGCATGGTGCAAGCAGACGTGTGTTGACGTCGATGTCGCCGTGTGAAAGTTGAAAATCCATGTAAATTATTTAGCTATTAGTAATTCGTAATTCCACTTGCTCTAATTAGCTATGATATCTCATCGTCATTTTTCTTATCATTATTTTTCCTTTTTTTTTCCTCGCGTCATCCATATACCTTATCTTTTCGTCGTTATTATTATTGTATTTCTCACATTATTGTTTTACTACTTTTATCATCACGTTCCAGGATGTCCGTCCGTGAGAAATTAATTTGAATCGTAGAGGAAGAAATTTGAGATAAAAAAAAAAAGAAAAAAAAAAAAGAAAAAAAATTTCGAACGAAAAATTAAATAATAATTTCTCATCTTGTATATCATAATGTATTTCACGGACGTACATTTTGAACCGAATTTTTTCTTTCGTAGAGAAAAATATAAACTTTTTTATTTTATTACAACCTGGCACGTTTTGTCACACGACACGAGGATTCCGTCGAATTCCTTCGAATTCAACGAGACGAGGAATCGTTAAACAGCAGCTTCGAGTTGAGAGATCCATTCATCGCGATCATTTTTCAATATTATTCGACGAACGATAATAAATATGATGATAAATGTGGCAAGGCGTGCCCTCGGTTTGCTTGTTTGTCTCTGACTTAATTTCGCAGTTGTTCACGCGCATCACTGAACGATCTTTCATTTCCGTTAACGTGTGGGCCCTTCGACCCTGTCGTAGAGCGAGGATGTCGCAGCGAACACTCTGACGATGTTAGATCATCAAGGCGGTAAGCAGTTCCCTCAGCAATAAACAAACAACAGAAAAAAAAAAAAAAAAGAATAATAATAACAAGTTGATTCTTCTCTCGAAGAATATATATTGAGAATATTAAAATAAAAAAAAAAAAAAAAAAANGGCGAGAGCAAAGTGATTGAGAAATAATAATAATAATAAAAAAAAAAAAAAAATGGGACATTGAAAAAAAAGCAAAAAAAATTAATACAAAAGTAAGGACGAACAAAGTTTTTCAGTTCACTCGATTTCGTATGATTTGACGATTTTTTTCTTTTTTCTTTTTCTTTTTCTTTCTTTCTTTCTTTCTTTTTTTTTTTTTTTTTTAATTTTAAAGACAACAGAAAAACAAAAAAATAGAGAAAAGATAAATCTTTTTATTTTTCGTACACTCTCCACGGTTGACGGGACTTATATATATATATATTCGTTGATATATAGGACACACTTTGACACGTATATCTATAAGCGTATACAATTCAAGCGCTTTACTCGCGTTATATATATCGACAACTCGCGTTTAGTTATTAATCCTGTTCGATTCACAGATATTATAATTAATTTCCCCGAGAAATCGCGTGCGCGATTTATTCGACAAGGGCACAACACTTGATTCGCGTCACCTGTAGATTTTCGTTCACGATCGATCGAGATCGATTCGATTCGATCGAATCAACGCGACCCTTGACTCGCAAACGGGAAAGGAAAAGAAGAAGAAAAAAAAAAAAAAAAAAAGAAAAAAAGAAAAAAGAAAAAATACGCATAGAAAATTACGAAAGGAACAAGAGATAAACTTTGCTTGACTAGCTTTTTGTTGGGGAAACGTTGGGTTAATCGATGGACGACGACTGACTTAACGTGTACGGACTATAAATAGTTGTGTGATTTCCGCCCAATCTATTCGGGAACTGAACGCGCGTTATATCTCTGATTCTGATCTCTTTTTCTGTCCTTTAGCTAAAACAACTTTCTAATTCTGCATCTTACAGCGCCACGGTACCTCTGAGTGCCTACACTGGAAACGAAGCGTGTCTTTTCTTCCTTTAATCTGCTTCTACTGCCTTTGTCTGCTCCTATTTAACATTCGACTTCTCGCATCATCGCCACCGAGCCAGCCACTCGCCCTTAACTCGATTCGCTTCATCGATTAAATCCATTTTGCTCCCCCTCATCCCCCGTTCATCCCCCTCACTTACTCACTCTATCGATAGACTCGATTATATCCATTACCTCCTTGACGAGACTTTCAAGCCACCCTCCGTGATAACAGAAATATATATTTATATATATATATATAATAAGAACGTGTGACCGCACGTTTCGCCGCTAGTACTGCCTATAATAATAATAATTTTTTTTAATAACTAGTTGTAATTTGTTTTGCTCTTGAAAAATTTCACAGATGCATATTTAATCAATCCCCTTTATAAGTCCAATACAGAGTTATTCCATCCCCGGAGGGGAAGCGTTGGATTTACCAACCGCTCGATCACGTTGACGAAGATCGTCGTCTTCTTCTCGTTTCGTCGTCAATTCATCTTCGAATGAATTTTCATCTTCGTTATCCTTCCTTTCTCTCTTTTCTTTTTCTTTTTTTTTTTCCTCATTTTTTGGAAAATACCTTAACCCTCTCGAAACGGAGGAAGGCGGGTAGAGGAAGACGACGTTGGACGACGTTAGAAAAAAAAACATCGCGGGGCCAATTATTTTCAAGATGCATTCCCACCATTCTCTATTCATCCAACGCGTCGTCTTCGCTCGGTTGGTAAATCCAACTCCACATCGAATTTCTAGTTCATTAAATAAAAAAATTCTGTAAAAGAGTTCCCAGTCCTCCAGCAGCCTGACCCGCAATTAGAATTATAATAATCAGGATAAAATGTCGCCGTACGCGCCCTCTCGCTCCTCCGTTCCGTCATCTGTCACCGGGATGATGGACGAGATATATAATTTATCCATTGTGCTATCCACGATGAATCCGACTTTCTCGGGCCCGAATCGGAAATGATTTGTCTAATCGAGGAAAAGTAAAGAAACGAAGCGAAAAAAAAAAAGATGTCGGCCGACACCTCGTGCACGACGTGATCGTGCATAGGAAAACGTAGGAGAGACAGAGAGAACAATAGACGACTAGACTTATAATATCAAAACGAATAGAATTCGATTAATTCCTTATCTAATTTCTTCCTTCCTTTTTTTCTCTGGAAAAAGTCTCTCTAATGAACGTTCGTATAATGGACGCGAGGCGGTCCGATTCCTCGTTGATTAGCGATATCCAAGTTAAAAAGAAGGGTCGTTCGGGTCTCTCTCTCTCTGTCGGGGCCCTATTCTGGGGGACGCGAGGCACGCGAGAAGAATTGAGAGAAAAAAAAAAAAAAAAAAAGAAAACGAGAAAAAAAAAAAATAAACGAGAGAAAAATTGTGTCGTGGAGCGAAGCGAGGGAGCGTTTCGACGGTGCTTCCTGTATATCTCACGTTTAACACGCCGCTGATTGGTCGGTTGCCTGTTTAGAGCCACGAGGTCGGGATGAAAACCCTCGTAATGCTGGACGAGCAAGGCGGTAAGCCATTTCAATCTAGACATACAAACATTAAACTTAAACGTAAAAAAAAAAAAAAAAAAAAAAAAAAAAACGTTTCTTACAAATAAATAATTTAAAATAAATTAAAATATTTTATATCAATGGTCTCGATTGACACAAAAGCAACGATCGACGACCAATTTATTATATGTATTCTACATATATATATGTCCTCCATACGTTCTCCACCCGCCGATGTATATATAATATTTATATACAGTTATCATATGAATGCATATGTAGTTATATATAGATATTATATATGTGTGTATATATATAATATATACATATATATATATATATATATATATATATACACGACACTAATTGCGTGTAATAATATCGTCCAGACACTATGCAAATCCCTTTAAATCGGAAATTTAACTTTCGATCGAAACGATTGTTATTAACCAGAGGAGAAAAAAAAAAACAAAAAAAGAAACCACCAAAAAGACAAAACAGATTCGTTCTTTCAACATCTTATCACATTTCCTTCAATATTCAGATCGTTTACGTTCGAAAAATCATCAGTTACTTTTTCCCCCCTTGTTCTTGAGTTTTTCTATTTTTCTTTCTCTCTATTTCTCTCTATCTCTCTCTCTCTTTTTCTCTTTCTTTCTCTCTCTCTCTCTCTAATACAATTATTGCATCTTATTTAACCCTAACCGCTCACCTTAACCATATATATGTATATATATATATCTCCTTCTTTTGCATTCTTCTCCTTCAATCTCTTCTCTCTCAATCATCGCTCTGCTCTCTTCCACTGCTACCTATTATCCTATATTTCTCTTCTTATCTCTTCCTCTGCCTTTATCTTTTCACTCTTTCTCTCTCTCTCTCTCTCTCTCTCTCTTTCTCTTTCTCTCTCTTTCTCTGTATCTCGTTTATTATCTTTCTCTCTGCGTCCTATCGTTCTCTCCGCCTGCTTCCTCCTATTCTTAACTCCGTTTCCTTCCGTGAACGTAATCTCACGAAGGCGAATGAACAAAAAAAAAACAGAGAAAT